GTTTGTAATACCAAAACATTGTGCCTTATTATTTGTTAAACATTGTCAACTGACGATTTTTTACCATTTTTGCACACGCCGATCACTATAAGAATTCTCTGCTTCATTCGCGGATCGTCAATTAAGGAACTAAGGAAGGAGGAATAGGAGATTAAATCACTAAATATTGTGAGATGAACTGATTGGTTTAGAGCTTTAGTTATTGTTGATCAATTTGAATCAACTTACTGCGGCAATCTTGTTGCCAAAGAACATATTTTTATTTATTATTATATATTTCAGCAAGGTATTTTAGATCAATTTATATGAGTTAACATAATACTTTATGTTTTGTGAAAAAAAGACTTTTTTTAATAATAATTGAAATAAATTTTTCTGAATATATATTCTGAGATCCATGCAACTTTACATACTAGTTTTTTTTCTTGCATATAGGACCTAAAATCTATATTTTTTAATTTTAAAGGTTATTAACAGTAAACATTAGACCATTAACTAATACATGCCATGTTTGTATGAAGATATTATGAGCAAATATCCAGAAACCAGTTGATTGGCTGAATGTACAAATCTTATTACTAAAGTGTTTCCAGAATTATTTGTTTTGTAAATTAATTTGTTAATACTTTTATTTAGACCTTTGCTATTTATTTAAAGTAGTTCAGTATGGAAATGTAAGCATAAGAAACTCCAAATAAATTCATTATATTATTTACAATAGTGGCTATGGATTTTGATTTAATTTCAAGATATTGGAGCCATTTATTTTAACTATATATTTAAATGGAAAAAAAAAATAATGATACAATTCATGCAACATATTCGTTACGCATGGCCTCTAAGCTCTCAGGACATAACCACCAAAGCCTCTGCCATATCACTGTAAAAAATATTGATCATTATCTTGAATTTCATGAGTAAGAAAAATGATTAGGTGGCACTCATATTTCTCGCTTTATCATATATATATATACAACATCTCTTACCTAGTTTGAAAAATGAAATTACTTTTATACCATCACTATCAAGTCCTAACTTTTTTAATACAGTACATTCTGTACGATTTATGATTTTATGATTTGCAATTTATTTTTCAAATTAGGTCGATCATATTTCCCCCATCTGCAAAAAAAAAATTTTTTCTCAATATAATAATTATCAGCTTATTAATATAACAAACAAGTTATATGGTTATTTGTTAATTATTTATTTTATACTTATATGATATAAAACGTATGTGATGAAGCTTACACCTGAACTCATTGAATGTTCGTCATCTTACATCAACACTGTAAAAGATCGTGAATTAAACCTACGAGGTATCCTTTAGAAAAATAATAAATCAGGATATTAAATGGATGAATGATGCAGAAGTTTTAAAGAAATAATTTTTAGCGAATAGATTAATGATTTAATTAGTTGATTAGATAGTTTAATTGATTGCTATTTTCAATGAAAATTCAAAAAAGCAAATAATTAATGACAAAGGGCAATGATTAACTATCCTGTAACATAGCCCTTAGTTTATATGACTATTTGTTTCTGTTAACACTTGTGTGTATATTCATTCATTCATTCATTCATTCATTCATCTTTTTTCTTTACATAAATTTCTTATTTTTATTGTTCCCTGACTCAAAAGCTATTTTTTCATCAATAGGTAATAAAATTCCTTCCATAGAAAATCTCGGTGTGTCAAAGGTAATGAATGATCAGGAAAAAAAATTGATATTATGGTATTATATATACATATTTAAATGAGGAATATACTTACAAATGATGCATTTGTTCATAATATTAATTATTCTTGAAAAAAGGATTTAAATGACACAATTGACCTAACGGATAATGACATTCGCATATTGGGCAATTTCCCATTGCTGCGTCGTGTTCATACACTATTATTAGCCAATAATCGAATTAATCGACTAGATTTACAACTATTTGAATTTCTACCCAACCTTACCACTTTGGTTTTAACAAACAACAATATAACTGAATTATCTGACTTGCAACCGTTGAGTGGATTTAAAAGATTACAATATATAAGTTTACTGGATAACCCAGTAACCAGGAAACAATGGTATCGAAGTTGGGTAATTTGGAAGATTCCTAGTGTTAGAGTTATAGATTTTAAAAGAGTTCGTGATATGGTATGAAATCAAAAGTTTTCCTTCAATTTTTAAAATCATAACTAATAATTTGTGATTTTTTTGTTATTATGATTGTAGGAACGTAAGGAAGCTAAAAAATTATTCGAAACAACGAAAGGTGAGCCAACCACACTTGCAAAATCTATATCAGAAACAACTATTGAACCTGGTGAAGGCGTAGTCTCATCCACCACCACCACCAACATTAATCTACCAAAATCAAATCTGCCCACGATTGGTATGTCAACAGAAGAACAAGCTCAGATAAAGGTTAGAATTACTTATTTAAAAAATTCATTTTTGTATTAAAAATGAAAATAATGATGATTATTTTCGTTAATAAAAACAAATAGGAAGCCATTCGTAATGCCAAAACTTTGGAAGAAGTTGCTCGTCTTGAAAAATTGTTACAATCAGGTCATATCCCTAGTTCAAATAAACCTCCTTCAGCTAACAATGATGCAAAGCAAAGCGGAAATGATGATGGCGGAGATGAAGAAGGTGATGGTAATGAAATGAAAGAATAAAAAATAGAAAAGGGCAATATATGATCGATCATCTGGAAATAAATAATTCAGTGTTGATTATTAACAACACTTGCTATTCTAAAACTTGCTATAATTACATATCAAAATCAAACTGTTAATTATTAGTAATTCAGGGTAGAGATTGATTTTAGTAATGATTTCTTTATATCTTATTGCAAATCAAATTTCAATCGATTCAGACTTTACAATTAAAGAATAATATATTTTCTTTGAATTTAAAATAAATCCATTAATAATAAAATAAACAATAATCTTTTTACTATAAAAATATTGGTAAAAAATTAATTCTTATAAAATAATTGTAAAAGTTAATAATAAATAACATTATTAAATATAAATAAAAATTATCTCTGTTCACCATTATTCATTAATAATCAACCATCATAATAATAATCAAATGAAAATATTGATTTGTTTAATTTTTTAGCAATCTAATACTAACGATTCTATTACAATTGGGATGGTCAAAAAACAGATTATAACCCGACAACACAAGTAATTATGCCCGGAGACCGAGCAATAAGGACACCCTTATACTGACACAATTTCAACAAGCACCATTACCTGCAAGGCCATTTGCTCTTTGTTTAAAAGTGATTCTTTATATAGACCTTCGAAATCCAATAAGTGGGCTCCAGAAAGTCAAAGGAAATAAAAAATAAAAGTTGTCGATTACACAGTTCCCCAAATCTATTAATTGCAATATGTACTTCTATCACGGGTCACAAATTAAGCATCTGTTTTCTTACAAGATAAAATTTAATTTTTATTAAATAATATAAATACACGCACACAAGCTCATATTCATCATCACCATTTTAATTAATAAATTATGTAGATATCTACATCTATCAAATAAATGAAATCAAATTACAAAGAATATCTTCCGTGCTTTTTTGTTCATCCATCCTATTTAAATTCCATATTTGCTCAATATTGTCAAAGTGATCTTTTAATTCAACTAATGAAAAATGACCATCATTATTTGATGACACGTAATCCTTTATTGATCTACCATCATAGTTTGAATTACCTAAAAACCAATATATATAAGATTTTTTAATATTTGATTCGTTTTTGCTTTTTCAAAAAATTCACACAAATAGCAGCATTCAATACCTTTATTTTCCAAATGATTTATTCCAAATTGGGAAATCCCGGCTTTATTTTGTTCCTGAACTCCTTTTAATTTGTTTTTAGTAGCATTATTTTTTTGAGTAGAATACGTTGTGTTGTTTTCTTCTTTGAGCAAATTAACACCACTAATCTGGTCGGAATCATTCCATAAAATTCCACGAATCGGTGGTGGTGGCCCCCATCCCCTATTATCGTCCATGTCAAAATTATTATACGGTATCTTTTTCTTCTTAAAGTTGATAGGATCTTTCGGTTTCTGTATAGGAATCAATGTCGATCGATTCAACTTGCTGGGATTCCAAGAATTACCATGTTTGGCTTCAGGAGTATCAATTTTTTTATCTGTGGTCCATTTTTTAGTGCCATTCCAAGGAGATGTTATATTTGAGGATGAAGTACCAGAGTATTTTTTGTTATCACTGATTTTTACAGCTTCAGCTAAAGTAGGCCATTCTTTATTCGGTACCATTAAAAATTTCTTTCCCAAAAAGGAAAGATAAGTTTTCTCACTTTGTGGATTTGATTTATTTGTATCATTACTACTTGTCGATTCCATATTACTTGAAGATTGATTTGTCTTGACCAATGTCGTAATTGTAGAAGTTAACTTATCATAATCGTCATCATCAATATCACAATCAACATTACCATTATCATCACCATTAACATTAACATTAACATTAACATTAACACTAACACTACTATCACCACCACCACCACCGCCACAATCATTATCAATAAATGAATAATTTTTTCGATATTTTATATTTTTCTTATATTTGTTACAATTATCAACAATCCATTTATTCAACTGTAAAAAATTAGTATTCTCAGCCACCGAATTAACACCCTCCTCCTTGAAATTTATTTGTGATAAGGTGTTTTCGGAGTGGAAGGAGATATGTGAAACTTCTTTACCTATATTGTTGGATTTTTCTGTTTGATTTAAAATAATCTGAATCGGTGGCAATGAATTTTTATTGTAAAGACCCTTTTTTCTATACCTGTTATTATCAATTAAATTACGTTTGATGAAAAAAGTATCATGATTATTATAATTATTATTTACTTGGGGACGTTGTATAAATTCGATCTCATCGTCTGAAATGTTCTCATCACAGTTTTTTGAAGTTATAGATTCTTTCAATTCATTTTCTTGTGATTTTAAATCTGTTTGCTCGAGACTCTCCTCATTTATTACATTAGAATTATCAACATTACTACTTGATGGTGATTCAAACTCAAACTCTATTGGCTCAACTTGAACTAATGGCTCCTCTTCTACTGGTAAAATTTTCTGAGCATCATAATTATTAAAATTATTTTCAACAACTGTGTTATTATTATTCGCTGTGTTATTAGATTCATCTTTAGAATCTAAATCATCACATAGGGATTCCATTTGTGAACTATGGTTAGGAACAGGTAAAATTATATTATTAGACAACAAAAAGCTTTCAGTTTTTTTTTCATTTACGGAATTCCATTCACCGGAATGAGCAATTGAAGAAGAAGAATTTTCAGAAATTGTTGTAGTTTTTGTAGTTGATATATTTTGTAAATAATCATCCTGAAATTCATTAAATATTAAGCCTTGATTACTATAGTCTTTTTGAGGTAATGAAATGTCTAGTTGATCATCAGGATTTATAATACTTCTTACACTGTCATCATTTCTATTTGAAGTTTGGATTGAAATATTATTTCCTTGAGAAATACTTTGTTGTTGTTCATTTCCAAAAACTTTTCTAATAGCATTATCAATGACATCAGCAGGAAAGCCTAATTCTATTGCCAATTCATTAATTTTATCTTCTAAAAGTATATCATTACATGTAAATTTGTTATTAGATGACTGATATATGGTTTTCTTTAACTGCTAATGATCATAATAATAAAAGTAAATTTGAGTTACCTTGAAAAATATTAGGCATATTTTGAAATTGTGCCAATTTTTTTATATTTTCTTTTTCAATTGTACATTTTGTATGATCCATCAAATAATAATTTCCATTGAGCTTTTCAGTTGCAAATTGATAAATAAAAGAATTTGTAATTGAAGGTGTTCCGTTAAAAACTATTTTTTCAAGTTTTGGAACAACTTTAACAAACCATTGAATGGTTTCTGGAACAAAGAAACCACATGACTCTATAATAACACGAGTAAGTGAAGCACTAGATCTATAACCTAGGTATTTGAGAGAAATGTCTGTAATGTTATGACAATAATGTAAGTCGATTATTGAAAGTTTTTTTTCATTTTCTGCAATGCTATTAATTGAATTGTCTGTGACATATGGACAATTTGAAATTGCAAACTTTACTATTTGTTTGCAATGTATTGTGATGATTGTAATAGTATTATCGTCAATTGGTAAATTTTCAAGTATAATTACTTGTAGATTCTGACAAAGTGGTTTTAACCATTGTATCTCAGTAGATAAGCAACTTATTTTTTGTAGGCACCTAAAATCAAAATATTCTAATTCTTTCAAATGATCCATGACCACTTTGAATGATTTAATAGTAAGACTTTTACCTAATAATTGAAAATTTTTTAATTTAGAATTTTGTTGTGCAAAATGTTGAATATTTTGATCAGTGAGATGGAGACAATTTTGTAAAATTAAATTGTTGAGCCTTGTCAATTTGTTAGCCAATACATCAAACCCCTTTTCAGTCATTACTTTAGTGGAAAGCTTGAGTGAAGTAACGCCAGGACATTTATTTGCCAATGCCATTGCAAAATTATCTGCAAGGTCAAAGATGCCATCCAAGTCCAGCACGTGAATACAATTCATTAATGGAAAAAATGCCATATGTGTAAGTTTTTTATTTCCAATTATCAGAATTTCCTTGAGATCTGAACAATATTGATATAATGATTGTATGTGATTGTCATATAAATTCCAACCATAAATTTTAATTCTTTGTATATTTTCACATAACATGGCAATTTTTATTATGAAATTTGGTTTTGATAAAAAATATGCAGACATTATTTGATGTTCTGGTCGAGCAGATCGTAAAACTGGTACAAAAGAACTGACATTGTTTTCATCGGGTGCACATAAGTTAAGGACACGAACTCTTAATGCACATTCTTTTGAATTTCCAACCACGTGTAAAAATGAGTGAAGAGAATCAAGTGTTTTAAAATTTGGCTCTGACCATAGAGTTTCGGTGGCTGCTGGAGTCCATGCCCTATTAACTAAGCAAAAATTCAATTTATCTTGTTGCGACTCTAAATATTGAGCTATATTTTTAATAGTTTTGAATTGCAACCTGAGAGCTGGACGGAGAGATAAACCAATTTCATCAAAATCCGTTGAGTAGGTATTTTTTAAAAGTCCCATTACTATTTTATTTATTTTATTCCTAATTTTAAATTTTCAATTTTTTATCTCTTATCAAATGATATAAATGTTGTTGTTGATTTTTTTCCCAATTGGATGAAAAAAAATTAAAAGTGTAATGTGGTACGAAACAGATTTGGCACGGGCAGAATTTAAAACGCCGGATCATTGTCCCAAGGATTTCTTTTATCAAGAGTGACTGTGTAATTGGAGGCATAATCAAATATCTTTTGAATTCCTTGGAAAATATTTCGAAAGTTTTATCCCCGTGGTTTTGTTAGAAATCATCAGAATTTCAGATTTATTTACTTATTTCTTAGTTACACATTAAAAATTTCAAATTCACTTTTTTTTTTCTTGAGTGATGTAAGCTATTTAAATCAAAAGCAAATTTAATATATTAATGAATATTGATCTATGATAAATTAAATTATTGGGGTTATGTTTTAATTCTGCATTGATTAATTGAATTGTATTAAATATTCGCCATTAGTCTTTTTTTTTTATTCAAATAAATATTAGTAAGTTTTAAATTTTATAGCGAAATCAAAATTTTAATAAAATTTTTTTATTCAAGTGGATGAGCAGGAAACTGGAATTCGACATCTTTGCTAGTAAGATTTTTGTAGACAGCTTTAAAAGTGTCAATTTTATACTCCAATGATGCCGCATCTTTGCTATCTAAGAATCTGTAAATTATAAAAATTTAGTGAAAGAATAACATCAAAAGATATTTTGGAATTAAAAATAATAAGACACATTACACTTTAATGATTTTGCTGCCATCTTTATTAATGCGTGTTCTCTTCCCTACAATTTCTGTAGGATATACCAAGTCTTCCAAATATTTTTCATGTACTGAGGTAAGAGTACGTGATCGAGGGCGTAATTGCTTAACGCGAGATTTATGACCTGGTTTAGGTAGAATCCTTCTATCCGCAATAAATACAATATGTCTATCTGAAAATTTTTTTTCCAATTCACGTGTGAGCCTTTTACAATAAATATAAAAATAGACATTATTAGTAAATTATTATATAAAAATATAGTAAATTGGTAATATGAACATACCTTTGTTGAATTTTATGAAATTGTTTTAAAAGCGGAACTGGAACAAAAACTACAATAGCCTTTTTGCCTTCGCCTAATTCATACTTGATTAATAAATATCAATATATATTTTTAACAATCAATTACCCATTAATAAAAAAAAAATTTTTAAATTAACAATTCAATTTATTTAATAAAAAAAAATTTTTTAGTAGTGGTAATGAATGAACTCACCTCTTTGGCATCAGTGATTTGTAAAGGTTTTAAATCTTTTTTTAAATCTACAACTGTAGACTCTAAATCATAAAGAGCTTGTGCAATTTGTTTTGCTGTTTCATCGCTAGTAAGTTGTCCAGCTCTTTTGGCGATTTTTTTATCCGACATGTTAAAAAATATTTGATGTTTAATTTTAATTTTTAAATCAAATCTAAAAAAAAAAATCTTCGTAAAAAAAAAAACTTTTATTATTATTATAAGGTAGCACAGGTTGCACAACCCGAGATCTTTTTATCAATTCTAAATGTCTAAATCAGAACAGCAAACATCATCACCTACTACTGATAATGCTAGCTTTGAAAGTGATGCTTTAACTTCACAAACACAAGGACAAGAACTCCAAACTAAAATTTTACCATTTCCACAATTTAATCTTTCATTTCCCGAGGCGGCTCAACCTGACATAAGTTAGTGGAATTAACACCTTGCTTGATCCGCAAATGTTGATCATTGAGTTTATAATTTCTAATCAAGATATAAAATTGATTGTTTTTAATAGTTAGGGCAAATCAGAAAGATGTTTACTATCAAAGAGTTTTAGCAGAGCAAATGTCACAGGTCTTTCGTTTGTTGTTGGGTAATTAGTAAAAATTTTATTTTTTTAATAACAAATCAATCTCATTAAAAAAGGTGATATAATTGGATTAATTAAATAGGAACTCGTAGGCAGCATCAATGTCAAAAGGAAATAACAATAATATCAGATTTTTGCTATTTTTGTTTGACAACGTTATTAGGTAAAATGGAAAAAGTTATCGTTCATAAACAATTATGAGTTGTATTAGACTAGCTTATTATTTTATATATATTTAGGAACCCAAACGTTAGGAGAAGAATACTGTGATATAATGCAAATTTCTGTACCAGATAAACAGTTACCATCAGTTAAAGTAAGTAAAGTTATTTTATTAATAGCTTGGATAAATTTTTTTTACTTTTCTCTTCTAATTCAAATTGAAATTTTAATATTATAAATTAGAAACGTGCAATTTTAATTTTCTGGCATGTTCTGTTTCCTTATGTTTATACACGAAGCATTTCTAAACTTCGAAAAAAATCAAAGCCTTCTTTACAACAATTAAATTCACAAAATATATATCAATCACCATCATCATCAATAATCAACCGCGATAAATTTGTTAATCTCATCTACAAATCATTACCGTTATTTCAAACCTTTATTAAAAATCATGTACATGCTCTACATTTAGCAATATTTTATTTTTTCGGTTCGTATTATAATTTATCAAAGAGGGTGACTGGAATCAGATATGTATGTTGCTTGGATTAATTAATCAATTATTATGCTTTTTTTTTTTTGATCTAATTTTGTCTTGCCATTTCTTAAGATATTTACAAAACAATTGAGTCCAGGAGAAAAAAGAATTGGTTATGAACTACTTGGCCTTTTACTTGTAATTCAAATAATTATTCAAGCTTATCAATATCGAAAGAAAAAAAATAAAAATATGAATATTTCCAATTATAGTTTGCTAGACAATGATGACGATGGCGGTGTTGGTGGCGATGATGATGATGAGGAGTAAATAAGAAATTTAATTTTTTCAAGTTAAATATTTAAAAATATTTAAATTTTAAATATTTAAATTATAAATGATATTTAGCAACGAAACAAATTTCACCTTAACATCTAATTTGGGCTTGACTCCTCAAGAAGTTGCAGCAAGAAAATGCACACTTTGTTTATCGCCACGTAAAAACACAACAGCAACTCCTTGTGGTCATTTATTTTGTTGGTCATGTATTGTTGAATGGTGTCAAAATAAGGTTATTATTAAAATGTAACTTTAGGATTTTTCATCTTTTGTATTTTGTTATTATTACTAACAATTTGTTTATTTTTTACAACATATGATGAAAAAAAGCCTGAATGTCCTTTGTGCAGACAATATGTAAATCCATCTCATTTACTTCCAATTTATAATTATTAATATAATGCATATATAAAAAGTCATATTTGTTTAATTTAGATTGTATAAATATTATTGTAAATTAATTTATATATAAAAAGAATTTATTGCAGTGAGTGAGTGATCAGAAAAAGTATTAGAATGATTGTAACGTTTCACGTTTAATCCAGAATCTAGTCGGGTCTTTTGTTATTGATGGTTACCATAGTGAATTATATTTAAAATAACTTTCCTTATACAAGTAGTTATGCCATTCATCAATGAATTGATTACCGTCCAAATTGGGATATAAAGAACAAAATAAATTGTAGGCAAACTCTTGAATTCTTAATTTATGCACTTGGTTAATTATCATAATAAAAGGGATATAAATACCAAGGTGACCAAAAAAATAGGATCGTAAATTTTTTTCAATTTCTTGTTACAAGTTAACTTCGATCTAGATAGAATTTTCTCAATTGTACTTCTCAACCATGCCCAAACTGCAACGACATGAGCATTTTTTTTTCGTAATGCCGATTCTAAGCTCGTATTTTTACTTCTTTATTGATAAGAGAAATCTTGTCAGATACATCGAAGCAAGCTACGTTTTTTAAAAAGAGAGAAGATCACGTTCTATACATGGCAATTAACCAAGTTTCAAGATTTCTGTCCTTTAGATGTTCACCGTGAATTTTCTCACTCTATAAAAATAGATTTAATCAATGCATTTAAAGGACTATAATAACAACCTTTGCGCAAATACCGACCGTGTCGGTCACAAGAACCAAAAACACTTACAATGCATATAGGGCAAAAAATTATAATCTACGTCGTAGTGTTTTTCGTGATTATTGCCCAAACATAATTTCCTTTATGATTCTCGAATATCCTACAACAAGAAAAGAGGTGGATGACTTATTGCAATGCGCACATGTTTGCCAATTAAAAAGTAAGTTGACATTCTGTTTCTTAACATATTAACATTAATGAAATATCATTTAAATTTTAGATTATGGCAATAGCACATCCAAATGCTTTAATCACCAAAAATAATAATAGAAAGTTGTTTATACAATTGAAGACCAATTTTTTTGGAATGCACTAGACATTTTTGTTAATGTACTGAAACCATACGAGTTCATTACAAAGGTATCGGAATCTGGATATGCTAACTTAGGTAAAAGGCAGTTAGGGAAAATGGGTCGCAGAGGTTACCTTTCACATTAATTTTACGAGCATATCTTAAGAAGCTTTAACCCAGTCAGTCTCCTTGAGAAATTGCGTACAATGTTCGTCCATGCAACTTTTCCGACCCCAACTCATCTCTATCATTATTAATGATAAATCTCAGGATCCAGTAACTTTTTTTTTAGTTGCGCCGAATTAACCAACGTTGCTATTACTATATATACAAACTCTTTTAATCTTACACTTTCGGGAGCATCTGAAAGGGATTGGACTTCATTTTCATGTATACATGATATAAGAAGAAATAGATAGCATCTGAAACTATTTTAAATTATTTTAATCATAAATAAAAATAAAGAAAGTTAAACATGCAAGGTAAATGAAAATAACGAAGATGGGAAAATAATAATGAAGATGAAGATGATAATGATGTCGATACATCTGAACTGGAAACTTTTAATTAAGAATTCCTACTTTATAATAAAAAAATAAAAATTTTATTCAATTTATATATCTTTCGTTGATTCGTTCGGAGCCTTAAAAAAATCAATTATGCAACCATTACCTTGTCACGGAGGACCTCGCCATAACGGATTATAATCAAATTCTTACCAATAACGGGTTTTTAAAAATTTTGCATCGCATATAAAACATATAAAAATCCGTTGCAGCAAGATTACAACGGATTTTAAATAAAATTTTCTTATGTGTCCTATTCATCCTCTGCGACAAGGTTTGACTGTATTTATAAATATTATAAAAAGAAAAATCATTTTTTTTGTAATCAATTGGTATTTACTTTGTCTCTCTAAATATATGTAAATTACTTTTTCTGTTTAATGTTCTCGATGTAATTTTTCTTATGGCGCCATTTATCAGATGTTCCAGTCTTTTTTTTATAAATGGCTTCAGGAACTCCATCATGGATAGGTTGGGTAAAACAATATTAATATGAATTCCTACCATCAAATTTATATTAGGGCCTCGCAACTATTTTGGGTAAAATCCATTTATAAATCATAAGGCAACCTATTTATGAAGTCCCATTTAAATTAACATTTTGAAAATGCATTATGGGAATTCTACGGAGCAGAAAATAGACGAGAAATATCTCAGTGTTGGTGATGACGAGAAGAAGAAAGTTGATATATTCGTGTAAAAAAAAAATACACAGGCATTTTTGATATACTGTAAGTCTCTGGAACTATCATGAGAGGATTTAAATACAATTTTATTATAGCTTTCTTATCAGAGGCTTTTATATCCAGAGTGACTGTTGGAATAACAATGACAACAACAATAATAATAACAGTAGTAGTAGAGGTGATAACCATAGTAATAAGGACTATTCATTCATTCTCTATTTATTAACATGTATATAGCAAGAGCACCAATTAAAAGATATTTAAGTTGAGGATAATCATTCATTACTATAGTAATCATTCCAACATAAGGCAGAAATCTAATAAATTATAATAATAATGGAGTTAGTGTTAGAATTATAATTATCAGTGTTATTTATTAATATTGATATTTTACCCAGTGACTTTTCCAACTAAATGTTCTTTATGAATCCAGAATTGATTTTTATTATATAAACCTCTATCATCTACTTGATTATTATCCCCTTTAGTCAAAATGTATTGTTTATCTGATTGAGCTCTAATCAAAAAATTAATAATATATATAATTATATAGTTACAAAAAAAACAAGAAAAAAGTTTTGCAAAAATAAACTCACTTATTATGTAATTTTATTACTCTATGAACAATTGGCACTTCTCTCCCTTGAATCTTAAATACTACAATATCACCTACTTTCACTGGTTCCTTTGGCATAGTTAAAAATAATAAATCTCCTCTGAAAAATGCTGGTTCCATACTACCACTAAACCATACATATATATATAAATACAATGATATATCTTTTAAAGTGTATACATAATTACATGATAATTTTATCATACCTCAAAACCACCACAATTGGGCTTTCACTATTGGTATAAAGTGATAACGTTTTCCATAACATTAGAGCCGAACATATTATCATTAAAAAATTTAAAATTTGTTGTGCAAGCTAAAATAAAAATAAATAAATATCAAAAATTCATGTGATAACATTTTGGAATCATTTATAAAATTTTTTACCATCCGCATGCTCATTTCGCGAAGAAACTTTATATATTCTTGAAGCATTTTTAATTTTTATTAAATTAACAATAGGTCTATTGTAAAAATCAATTCTTTATATTATTATCTTTATAGATAATTAAAAAAATATAAATCCAAATTTTATTTTCAACCAATAACAATTAAACATGTATTGTTGCACAGCTAATGTCATAGGTTGTTAATAAAACTGTAGATAATCACGTTTTTTTTTGTTTCTGTGATCTCGTGCAGAAAATTGTCATTTGTATTGATTGCGAACAAATAATTACTTTTTACAAGTAATTACAGAACCCAATCACTTAGATATGCTTTCTACTAGAATTTATTAAATTATTACATATTAAGAATAGAATTTTGCTAGAGAAAGCTTATAAAGTAATGTAAAAATTATTCATTATTATATATATATATGTATATATAGTTTTAACTTTAAATTTATTAATAACTCTTCTTTGAAATATACTATTGTATTTTTTTGATATAAAGTAAATTACAAAATAAGTATGTTTCAAGAATTATTAAAATTCAGAGGTAAATTTTCAAGTGTACAATTAGGATATCTAGATTCATATTACTGTAAAAAATAAGAATGTTTTAATTGTAAAATAAGTATATTCATACATATTTTGCAAGTAATTAGTGAATCATCTTTTTTGATTCAAGTATGTTTTGTAAAAAAATAAGTGGGAAATAAGTAGGAAATAAGTATCTAAACTTTTTGTAGGGAAAACGTGAAGTTTTATTTCAAAGTCCTAACAAAATCAATTGGAATTGTTTATAATGTACCATTAACCTAGTTCCAGGTTGTGTATTTTATTTAGATTTGTAGTTATTGAATACGAAAAGTCTATATTGATATTAAGTAATCCTTTCCTTGAAAAACATGGATCTGTTATGGATTGGCCTAAATCCGAAATAAAGCTTCATTGCAATGGGAAAGATTTTTACATTCCAGTTACGATGCACAAGGTTGAAAATAAGATCACATTGATGCAATTTCTACTTCCAAAGAGCCAAGTATAGGGTTTAAAAAAAACACATGAGTTATGAGAAACTCGAAAAAATATTATACGACAATAAGATACTATAAGCAAATTATGAAGAGCTCCGAGAATCTGTTATGAATAAAGAAAAGATAAATTAGGCAGTAGAAAGTAAATGAGAACTAATGGATAAGTTCTTATCTTTCATTTTTATTACTTTTTCAAGCCGGGTAATTACATCTGTAGTAGAAACAACCGAACTTTGTGAGTCACCGCCTATTTTTTCTGTCAAATCTTTACTATCAGAAGGCGGATCAGATATGCGAACGGATTTGAATTTAGATCTCTTTTTTGTCTTTCCCACAACTACAGGTTTCGTAATATCATTTTCTGAATCAGCTAAAGATAGTTTCCAAGTATTTGTACAAACCTCTTCTCCCTTCCATATCTGATAAAAACGAGTATACGACATAGGATATTTGTCTCCAAGCATATCTAGAGGTTTGGATTTTGCATCTTTATATTGCATAATATAATCATAGTCTGTTGGTGATAGTTTGACTGTATCAGATCACATGGTTTTGATGATGTATTTGTAGTTTCTGTAATATCTGTTGTGCGTCAATTTGAAATTCACGCGTGTGAAATTCAAATTAGCCAATCAGAATTTTGTATTCAAACACCCACCCCAAATATTTTTAAAGGGTAATATTATATACAGAAAGGTTCTTTTATGAAATATACAGAACCTATGTGACAAATAAGGATTAATTCTTAGAGTTGGTAAACACTGTGTAATTCCTGCCACCCCCAGCCCACAAATTTAATCCTCACCTCTCGTGAGAATGTTTAAATGCATCTTACATCCTACAAAAATTCTATGTTATTAAAAATCTTATACGAATGCGGATCATAAAAAAATAAACAGGAAATACATTACTGGCAACCTTTATTTCCAACAATTCTAAATTTCTCTCTCTAGTTTACATATCTTTCAAGTCCAACATAATCTATCATTAATTTCATGATTTCACAATGTCATCCTATCTTTTTTGTTTAGTGCAGGATAAACACAAGCACTTGACATACACGAGTTTGTAAACTTCCTATTGCATTGAAACTCGAACAATAATGTCTGTCCGTCTTCCTATTTGATCATCACCTTTTCTATCTGAATTGGCAACACTTTGTTGTACTGAAGTACTGATGAATGCAATCTTCTCAAAAGGAAAAATTTTCACAAATCATTGCATTTTTCTTGTACAATTAGAGAGGGAGATAATGTACCATCTGCTGTGCAGGTTTTATAAAAGGTTGTCAAAAATATCCAGTTAACTGTTGTATTAACTCTGAATCATCACCAATGACCTGGTTGGCTAAAGGATCCTTCCAGAATAATTCAGAAATTGATACCTTATCCACGCCAAAATATAAATGCCGACAAATCAAGGACATAACTTTTTTGAGCCTTCCCTTCTTTGATCCGAACTGAAAGGTTTTTCTTTATTGCGCCAATGCCTTACATACTGCAAACACCTACAAAGGCATTACCGAACTAATGTAAAATATAATAGTCTCTATTAAAGTCACATAAAAAATTTTATCTAATACATATGTTATTATACATTTCATCAACTATGGTTGTTGTAAGAAAACCTATAGAACATCATATCAAGAATTATATCAATAGGGTTGCATAAAAACTTATATGTTGTCTCAATTTATCTCCACTTCCAAAATTGTAAAGTATGACTAATTACCCATCATCATATTTAGAAATTAATCATAATGCATTCCCAAGCACCTTCATAAAACTTTTTTCAATTTCTTTCTCACGATCTTCTGCCCACCTACCCTCCTCAATTTGCTTGTGTAAAGTAGTAAAGGACATTTATAGAAGAAATGGGTTTATAAGAGATTAAAAGGCTTCCACTTTTTATACAGAGAAGATTAATGTTAGAATAATGTTTGAATATATGAATTCAATAAAATCACTATAAAAGCAATAATCATCCATAAATCCCATACACTATCCTTTTTAAATAGTTTCATTCTACGTCTTTTTTCAGATCTATAGAATTAGCAGAAAGGTTGAAGCAAAAGAATGCAAAGGAATTGTCATGTATGCATTATTATTATGATCAGGTACATTAAGTGCTGAAATTCTAAAAATACTTTTTGTTACAACCCATATTATGCGGATGGATTATCAAATTTGAGTTTCTTCCATAATATTAGAAACAGTAGTAGTAGTGAGCATAAATTCGATTCTAATCTATACCGCACCACATTTATAAAAAAATCTATAAAAAAAATGTAAAGCGATGAAGCCAACTTTATTAAAAGTGTTTATTTAGCTTAAATTCTTTTCTGCTGTATTGGAATTTAGATAGGTGATTGCTGTCCCAGTTTCACTTTTTTCTTTGCATTCCATATAATATGAACCAAATAACCGTGATAATCAATAAGATAAGTAAAGAATATGCCATTAATGGTGACATCATAGTACTCTTACAGAGTGAAGGTGCTACTGCATCTGCCACAATAGGAACCGCTTCTATACCTCCATTGAAATCCGAGGATGCGTTTGCAACTGGAAAAGAAATAGTAGATTCTTGTTTTTCAAGATACGGAGTCACATTTCCAATTTCCCATATATGATTGTAGGATTTTTCCTCTGAAGGTATATGAATAAGCTGGGTATCAATGTTTTTGTACGGCTCCGTAAGATCTTTTACAGGTTTACTATCTGCAGAAATATTTTAAAAATTGGCATATTTCTTTCATCCATCTCGTCGTCGATCTTGATTGGTTTTGAAGATAACTTGGATTCTAAAGAGTGTATTACCAATTCTTTTGATACCAGTTCAACCTCCAATTTAGATAATTTGGTCTTTGAGTTCTCAAACTCGGATTTTTTTGTGAACAGTAGACCCTCCACTTTAGATAATTTGGTCTTGAGAGTCTCAATCTTGTATACTTTCAGATATGAGTTTTCTTGTGCCGATTCCAACTTCTTTTTACCGTAGACTCGAGCGATGTTATTTCTTTCGATTTTATCTGTAATTTGTTGCTATAGTCAACAAGAGATTCTTGATTGTGACCATCCTAAGTTTTAAGGACAATATTTTCTATCTTTAATCGCTTGGCCTCATTAATAATTTTCAGATTGTGGTGCACTGTTTCTGGTTCTCGTCATTGACTAGCTCTATACCACGACCCCACTGCTCTTTTTCCTTATTCCACTGCTTTCTTTCCTGATTAAAGTCCTTTGCCTGTATACAATTACGCTGCAATTGTTCATTGTGGTCATTTAACTTTAACTCGGATATAGACATTATATTGAGATCCATAGATTTATCAAGTTCTTGTTCATGTACACTGCCAAGCCGATATCCTTTTGAGTTGATACCTTGCAATATGTGCACATTGGCCATAAATTTTTTCTCGTATATTCTGAAAAAATAATCAACGTTAATGGATTTTATATATGTTGTGCGTGAAAATCAATATTTAAAAATGGAAAATATTATATACAGAAAGGTTCTTTTAATGGAATATACAGAACCCTACCAAAAATAGCAATTCATTCTATAAAAAAGGAAACTAAATTGTAGCTCAAAATTTTTGTAAAACCAATGTGACATTTATCACAGACGTGATGATTAAATTTGTGGGCTGGGGGTGGCAGGAATTACACAGTGTTTACCAACTCTAAGAATTAATCCTTATTTGTCACATAGGTTCTGTATATTTCATAAAAGAACCTTTCTGTATATAATATTACCCATAAAATTAACTTCAGCATTTATGAAAAACTATTTCACCATTATTAAGAGAGCCAAATTCAGCTAACATGCTTACACTTGACTTAATTGGGTGACTTTTTGATGCAATTAATTGAGTCATATGAAAAACATATAAGTATTTGAGTCAAGACACAATTAAAAATTGTGATTTTGGGAATTAAGTCAAAGCCAAATTAATTTTGACAACATGTAATTGTTACACAATTAACAATGCATAAAATCACGTGAAAGA